GTGCGGTACCACATGAAGGCCTCCGCCCCCGCCCACAAGCCGTTGTTCTCCTCCTCGTCCACGCTGGACGTCCCCCGGAACACCACAAAGACGTTCCCGCCCGCGCGCGCGACGGCGGCCGCGATGAGCGGCCCGCTGATGAAGGTCACGTTCTGGGCGCCGAGGCGCGCCAGCTTGGCGCCCCATGCGCATTTGAACGCGTCGCCGTCGGCCGCGTCCGTGGTGTTGGAGTGCGGCAGGCGGTAGAACTTGGCGTAGGCGTCCCTCGAGAGCGACGCCATCAGCCAAGCGCCGCGCGTGTCGTTGCCGCCGTCGGGTTTCAGCCAGGCCGACTCTCGCAGGATCTGAGAGCAAGATGGACCCCCAGCTGCGTCGCCACGCAGGCCGCTGCTGAGGGCGGTCGCTGCCTTGCGGGCCGCCGCCTCTCCCCTGTGCGCCTGCGCCGGCGCCTGCGGCCGGCTGCAGCCGAGGTCAGCTATTGTGGTGACATTTATCTGCTGCTTGTTGATGGCCATCTTGCCAAAGATCGACAGCTGCCCAAAACCCAGGGTCGGGAGCGACTCTGCAGGCAGGCGCGTGCAAAGTGTGGGGTTGCAGCGGCGCGAGCGAGCGGCGCGATCTGATTGACAAGGCAGCGACGCTGGAGGGGCACTGCGTGGTGGTCCGGGTTGAACCGGGCTGTGGTGGTTTTGGTTTCCAGGTGCGCCTTCATCGATGAGATGGATCCACTCAGGGGTGCATTGGATATAGCACCACGGGTTGCAGACCAGCCCTAGCTTTGCAGCGCCGTACCTGCTCCAATCGCCAGGCCCAGCAGCGCCAGGGCCAAGGCCGGGAGCCGCTTACGGCGGTGCATGGGATTCGAGCTGCGTGCAACGCGTGCAGGTGCACGGCGAGCTGGCGCCGACCCTTCTTGCAAAAGACTGTCCGCCGTGCCGATGCAGCCAGAACGATCTTTCGTGACTTATTGATGATATTTTGACGTCTTCGGGGAGCTTCGATTCCTTGCGTGGCTAGTGCATGATGGCACAACCGCAGGCCGCAACCCGGTTCGAAGTGCCCGAGCGCGGCCTGAGATGGTTAAAATGTGTTGTTAGACAGATATATTATGTCGTGCGCATATATCATGTATGTGGCACGGGTCGTAGGAACGGCTGCACGAGCAGCTGCTGTGGCGTGTTCGAGAGTGTGACAGCAGTTGGAGGCTCGTATGAGCACGTCAGGAATGCAAAAACAGTTGGTGCCTGCCTGTGAGCGCAGTAAGATCCTTTGATCCACGATCATAAGTGGGTTGCGCAGTGGGGCGCATGGGTTGAGGCGCAGAGACTGTGACCATGATGGGATTGCTGAGGCAGGCGGTGAGTCCAAACGCATGGCAAGATTGCCTCTACAGCTGCGAGTGTACAATAGAAGCTGCCTGTTGCGACGAGCAGGGCCATGCCACCGCAGTGCAAGCCTTGCTGCCTTGTTTCATCATCCCCTGACATGCTTGACGTGGACTGTGCAGTATGAAGCCTTGAGATTGGCAAAGGACACGATTCCAGGCATCCGGAAAGTGCAACCGTCACGGTACAATGATATTCAGTGGGTAGTTTTGTAACTTAATGCGGATGGTTTCCGCCAAGACCAGGCCTCGGATTGAAGGGTAGTAGCCCTGCCTAAATTGACTGTAAGTAAAGGTCTGCCAACAAGTTGTAGTGCAGAATAGCAAAAATGTGTCCATTGCGCGCACAGAACTTCTGTGCGCTTGAAGTTTTGCTTGAATGTGCTCGAGTGCACAGCACGTGGCCTTGCACCGCATATGTTACTCCAGTTCGCCCAGACCCTCGATCTGGACACCTCTACTTCCTCAGATCGACCAGTATTGGGTTTTGCTGTTGGCACGGCTGCATCACAGCGCAGGGTCCAGCCGGCAACGCCAGGCCCGCCAAAACAAGGACAATGCACTCACGGGCAACCAACCCGCGCAGAAGTGCTGCGAATGAGATATCACCTGAGCCTATCATGTGCATTGAGGTACGAAAAGCGTACAGCAGCCTTTTTTTGCTGGTTTGATTTACTCTTGACGCCGGGAGATCGGCGGCCATGCTTAGTCAGCATAAACGGCATCACTGGCTACTAAGTCAGGCGCCGCAGTGAAAGCAATCTTTTGACGCGCAAGTATCTGTACTACCGTACAACTCAGGCTGGGTCCCGCCGACATTGATCTCGGACGAGGAGCTGTGGTTCAAAGGTGTGCCAACGACCTTCAATTGCTTGCAACGACCTATGACCCGGTGCCATCTATTAACGAGCCTCGGATGCTTGCCGGCCAAGAGCACACGTGCGCGTGCGCAAGCGACGTGCTTGCCAGCTGCAGTTGCAGCGACCCTCCCGCAAGGCGGCCGCTGTAGCTTGACAGCCCCTGGCCCGCCGCCGCAGGCCCCACATCCTCTGCTGCATAGGTCTGCATAGCCTTGGACTCCCATGGCCGGTTACCTGATGGCTCACGCACCGGCGTTGCTGGCCGCCGCTGGCGGCGCGCTGGGCGGCGCGGGCGCGGCACGGGCGTTCTCCTGCAGCGCGGCGGCGGCGGGCAAGAAGGTTTGGTTCAGGTGCGCCTGGTGCCCTGGCATCCCGTGTGTGTGATCAGCACGGCCCTGCCGTGGAAAAAACCCTGCCGATCTACTGTGATCGCATGTAGCGGCTGATCTCAAGCGGCAGGGCGCCGGGCCCCGGCTCGGCAACCTGCGCGCGCCGCTCGTCACTGCGGCGCCTCTCCTCCACAACGCCCTGCCGCCGCCCGCACGCGGGCCGCTCGACGCCCATCCTGTCACTGGCCTGACACTTCACGCCTGATTTTGTACTTTTCCTGACCAGCCACGTCGAGATGGCGCCCCGCGACCCTATCCTCGGAGTGACCGAAAAGTTCCTGGCTGACAAGGCCCCCAACAAGATCAACCTCGGGGTGGTGAGTCAAATCAGCGCATGTTTTGAGGGGCGACAGGGCACACCAGTCAAGCGTTGCAATATGGGCACGAGGCGGAGGAGAGAGTGGGGTGCTGGCGACCGCCGTGCAGCCGCGAGGCGCCTTCCTGCGGGGCCCTGGCTTCGAGGCGGCTGCCACTGAGCAGGGGCGGCCGGGCCATCTGATCCTTAGGCCTGACTCCCCACACATTTTAACAAACGTCACCTTACCTCCCTCAACGAACACACACAAGCACACACACACAAGAGCACACATACACACACATGCGCATGAGTACGCGCATCAATTCGCGACTTTGCAGGGCGCATACCGCGACGACAACGGCCAGCCCGTGGTGCTGGACTGCGTGAGGGAGGCGGAGCGCAAGATCGCGGGCAGCGGGTTCATGGAGTGAGTGGCAGGGCAAACCTGAGGGGAGGGGACGACACCGGGAAAGAACACGGCAGCAGGTCTGGCAGCGTGGGCAGGTAGCTGGGGGCCGCACAGTGCTCAGCGTTCGCAGGTGGCCGCGTGACGCTGTCACAGGCCGGCCACTCCTTTGCGTGAGGCAGCCTTAAGGCATGCAGTTGTGGAGGTTGCGTCCACGGCGCCCAAGCGAGCGTCACAACCGCCAGCGCGATACGAAAGGGCAGGCCGGATTGTCAATTCGGTGTCGTTAGCATTCCACAGAACCTGGGCGCAACTTTGCTCAACCCTGATGTAGGTACCTCCCAATCGGCGGCCTGAGGGACTTTGTGACGGAGAGCGTCAAGCTGGCATACGGCGACGCGTGCCCCGACCTCTCGACCATCGCCGCCGTGCAGGTGTGGTTGCGGCCGAGTGCTGGAACGGGGGCAGCAGCATCGGCGGCGACCGCGGCGCGGTCTCAATGGGCTCGCGCGATCGTGCTGCTGTTGTCTTACAAGCTTGTGTCAAGCCTAGCCGCAATGTTTCCCCTTGAAACGCCTCTTGAACCTCCCATGGCCCCCTTGTACGCACGGGGCGACCCTTACACACCCAACCCTGCCTCGCCGCCGCCCCTCGCCGCGCGCGCCTCAGTCGCTGTCCGGCACCGGCAGCTGCCGCCTCATGGCCGACTTCCAGCGGCGCTTCATGCCGCACTCCCAGGTCTACATCCCAGGTGCGGCGGAGGCCGCTTGGCGCAGTCAACATTGCCGACCGCCGGTCAAACGGCCGCAACATGGGGCCTTGACGGCCCCAACGGCGCTGGATTGTTGCCAGCCAGTGCGCACGCCCTTGGCGCCGCGTGTCGGGCGACGCCGACCCGCTTGATGTGTGCTTCCCGGCGCCCCCGCCTCTCAAACCCTGCGCGCCGCAGTCCCCACCTGGTCAAACCACCACAACATCTGGAAGGACGCCGGCGTGCCCCAGGTGCGCACTTCGATGCACGCTCGTGCGTCCCCTCAAGCCCGTCTGCTTCCTGTATGGGTTTCTCACAGCAAAACCCGCGTTAACGCTGGTCAAGAAAGCAACGTGCTACCGTGCGGGCCCAGCAGTTTGGTCTTCCAACCCTGAACCCTGCCCCTGAACCCCGCCCCGCCGAGCAGGCGCCCTACCGCTACTACAAGCCCGCCACCAAGGGCCTCGACTTTGAGGGGCTCATGGAAGACGTAAAGGCGGCGCCCAGCGGCAGCCTCTTCCTGCTGCACGCGTGCGCACACAACCCCACAGGCGCGCCGGGCCGCGCCGCGGCGGCGCCACGCGTCCGGCCCAGCTCCGGCCTCGTCGGCGGCGCCGGACCTTGGCTGCTCGCCACCATCATGACCGCCATGCACTTCCCTGACACATCACTTCGTCGCTCGGATGTATGTTGGCCCGTGGCGCGCGCTCCACCCACAACCCGCCCACCCACAGCGCCGCTGACATCCGCGGCGCGGCGTGCTCCCACCCCCTCCCCTTCCCCCACCAAACGCAGGGGTGGACCCCACCCCCGAGCAGTGGGCCGAGATCTCCAAGCTGATGCTTGAGAAGGCTCATTTCCCCTTCTTCGACATGGCCTACCAGGTGAACGATTATGTTTACCGCGTTTGACCTTCTGAAGCCCTAATGATCTGTGATGACACCTGCAATGCGCCCGCCAGCCGCAACGCCGCCAGCAGCCAGCTGCCAGCGCAGGCCCTGCACGCCCGCGCTGACGCTCAGCCGGCCCTGCCCTCCGGCCCCGCCGCAAGCACGTGCGCTCACATGCACGCCCGCGCCGCAGGGCTTTGCCAGCGGAGACTGCGACCGCGACTCGGCGGCCATTAGGACCTTTGTCAACGACGGCCACAGGCTGGTGCGCGGCCGGCCACGGCGCCAGACCCCCCACAGGGCCCCCGAGCCGTGCATCGGCGCGGCGCCCGGCAGTCGCGACGGCGGCAATGGCGGCGCCGCGTTGCCTGGCCGCTCCCAGCGGCGCCTCGCGCCCCTGCGTGCACCCGTGCAGCGCCGCGCGGACGACGCCCGCGGAACGAATGTCGCGACACGCACGCGCGCGCACCTCACACAGGCAGGCGCGCACTGCACCGCCCGCCGCCTCGACACACCACGCACACCCCTGCCTTCTTCCACCC